CTGGAGTCGTGGCTCCATGTCTAGCTCCTTGGGCTCCCTGAAAAGCTTCACACAAGGCGAGGCTGATGGAGAGCACCCGCTGACCTTGCTTCCAGCATCGCCTTCTCAAAGCAGAAACGGTGCTCCCGCTTGATACTTCCTGAAAGCGACGACGCCCCAAAGTGGGAGCGGGCTTCTGCGGCCCAAAAAGTCTACGGATCGACACCGAATGTGGAATCACTTCCGATGGTGTTTCGGGGGGACATGTTTTACATTTTGAGGCCTATCTGGAAGGACCGATAACGCCCGCGTTGCAGCGGGAGCACGATTTGGAACAACCAGAGGCGCAGAAACGGTGCCAGCGCTTCAGCGAGAGCAATCTTTAGAAAAGAAGCCCAGCAAAAAAACATTTCCCGTGGAATCTTGTTTGTAAAAGACAGTACGCGGAGGGGGGGATATTTCCCAGACGTCACCAGGGGAGAGAGGAGAGTGGTATTCATATTGTGTATTCGTGAAGAAGCAGGAGGAACGTGGTGCATCTTGGGGGCCCTTTGGACCTCCTGTGGGGAGTGGGAGGGGGGGGAGGGGGGGGGTCTCCTGGGGGAGTCTGGGGGCCTCTGAGAAGCCTCTTGCTTTTCGAGGGCCGTCATGGGGGTTCCTCTTGGCACTATTGGGGCCCTCATTGGGCGCTGTGGGGCTTTCTTAGTCTTGGAGATATGTGGGGCTGTCTTGGGGCCGTCTTGGGGGCCTCTTGGGGCCGTCTTGGGGGCGTATGGGCCCGTCTTAGGGGCCCTGTTAGGGGGCGTATGCGTATTGGCCCGTCTCGGGGCTATCTTCGCGGCTTCTAGGACCGTCCTCGGATGTCGAAAGCATGATGGGGCGAGAACGTTAAAAGCATTGGGAACAACACACCGGAAAATTCCTGATGTTGGCCCCCCGGAGGTCTTCTTGGAGAGCCCTCTTGGGACATGTTGGGGGCCTCCTGAGCAGCCCGGCGGGCATCTGGGGCCGTCCTGGAGGCATCTTGGGCCGACCTGGAGGCCATTCTGGCCGTCTTCGGGGTTGTCTTGGGGCAGTCTTGAGGGCAATCCTCGATCGTCTTAGCCCGTCTCGGATGCCTCTGTGCAGGCCAGCTTTGGGGTTGTCTTTGGGGTTGTTTTTGGGGTTGTCTTTAGGGTTGTCTTGGGGTTGTCTTGCGGTTGTCTTTGGGGCTGTCTTGGGCAGTCTTGAGGGTCATCCTCGACCGTCTTGGCCCGTGTCGGCTGCCTCTGTGAAGGCCAGCTCGGGTGCCTTGGAGGCAGGGGATGCTACTCTGTGGGTCACCCGGGTCTCTCGGTGTGGCCGGCGGGATCGGCCGAAGGCCATTGGGAACCTCTGAAACGCTCAAGCAGTAAAACGTGCAGCACGCACAGCACCCTTGAGAAAACGTTTTGGGGGCGGCTGATCGGAGACGCCCACGGCGAATCACCGCGAAGAAGCTGAGGAGAGTACGGAACAATACAGGAGGAGGGGGAGGAGGAGGAGGAGGAGGAGGAGGAGGAGGAGGAGGAGGAAGAGGACGAGGACGAGGACGTGGACGAGGACGAGGACGAAGATGAGGAGGCGGAAGTGGAGGCGGAGAAGGCTGGGGAGGAGGAGGAGGACTTTGGGGGCCTTCTGGGAGCTTCTTGTGGGCCTCGCGGAGGCCTCTTGGAAGCCTCCTTGGGCCTCTTGGGGACCTATTGGGGCTTCTTGAGGGCCTCTGGGGCCATCTTAGGGCCTGCCTGGCCTGCCTGACGCCGTCGTAAGCCGTCTCATGTGGCTCTCTGAGCCGACTTGGGGGCCCTCTCGGGGCGCTTCGGGGCCGTCTTGGAGGCCGTCTCGGACGCCTTGGAGGCCTCTTGGGCCGTCGTAAGGCCCCTTTTGCGGCCATCTTGGAGGATTCTTGGGACGTCATGGGGTCATCTTGGAGGCCTTGGGGGCGATCTTGGGGGCCTCTCGGGGGCCTCTTGGGCCTCTTGGGCCGCTATGAGCCGTCGGAAGGCCGAAAAGAAGCAAGGGGTAAAATCCTCCAAAATCCCTGAGGAAATTAATAATTTTGGCCTCTACTAGTCCTCCTGAAGTATCTCGTAGAGGCGTCTTGAGCCGTCTTGGATGCCATCTTGGACCATCTTGGGCGAACTTGGAGGCCGTCTTGGAGACCATCTCGGGCCATCTTGGAGCCAGCTGGAGCAGGAAAAACCTTGGCAACCGGGCCTTCCGGTTGACTGGCGCGCTGCGCCGAAGCCCCAGGCGGAGTTCTTTAAAAGTACCAAGAACTTGTCGGACGTCCAGCACGCCAGGCACCCGTGTGGCAAGAGCAACAGGGGCCGGCGGATCTACCAGCCTTCGGCCTATTTCGCAACCTTGTTTAGGTGTACGTAGGTCAGAGGAGTCTTGGATGCCCGTGGAGATCTCGTGGGAGGCACCTCGGGAGCTTCTTGAAGGCGATTTGGGCGGTGGTCTTGGGGCGGAGCGCTCGACGTGTCGATTCGTGTTCCCCGTCTGGGGCCTCGGCTCCTCTTGGGCCGTCTTGGCGGTCTCTTGAAAATGACTGCATTTGGCCCTGGGGGCCCTCTTGGCGGGCCTCTTGGAGCCTTCGGTGGCACTTGTAGAGGGAGCCTCTAGGGCGACCTGGAGGCCATCTTGGCCGTCTTGGAAGGATCTCTTGGCGACTCGCGGACCCCCATTGCACCGTCTTGAGGCCCCGTGGGGCCCTCCTGACCCGTTTTGGGGGGCCCGCGGGGACACCAGGGAAGCCCCAGGAGGCACGCGGGAAGCCCCGGGAAATCCGAGCATTTGGGGCCCGAGCCCCTTTACGTATCGTCCGCTCAGGACGGAGGACAGGAAATTCCAGGGACCTGAGAACCCTGAACGTTGTGCCCGAGGCACGGAGGCGGATCACTCCCCTTCTTTCAGCCACGCGCAGGGGGGGCAGGGGGAGGGGAGGAGGCGTCTGAGAAGCACCTCTGCTCCTTGGAAGGTGCGGGCCTCATCTGCGGATGTAGGGCCGGCGGATTCTGAGAAGCCGCCTCCATATGAGAATCGGGGTGGACAGAACCCCCACCCTGACACGTCGATGAGTGAATTGTCCGTGTTCGGTCCTCGATAATGAGGGCGCCGCGGCCGTCGTTTTCCAGGTTTGCGCCCGCCTGGTTTTCGGGGCCCGATGTCGCTTTCACTAAGCCACGTCTTGCCAAAGGGGGCTCTGTCCATCCCCGTGAAGAGGGGGGGAGGAGGGGGGGGAGGAGGAGGAGGAGGAGGAGGAGGAGGAGGAGGAGGAGGAGGAGGAGGAGGAGGGAGGAGCGGAGGAGGCGGAGAGGCGGAGGAGGCGGAGGAGGCGGAGGAGGGAGGAGGGGGAGGGGAGGGGGGGGGAGGGAGGGCCGAGGACGAGGACGAGGACGAGGAGCAGGAGCAGGAGGCAGGAGGAGGAGGGAGCAGGAGCAAGAGCAGGAGGGGGAGGAGGGGATGAGGAGGGAGGAGGAGGAGGAGGAGGAGGAGGAGGAGGAGGAGGAGGGAGGGGGAGGAGGACAAGCTAGGTGCGCTCGCGTCGTATCTGACATCCTACCCCTCCCTCCCATCCCTTACCATGGCGTAGATCCCCTCTCTACTCGCACAGTCGGATGTTGAGCAGGGCAATGATCCTGAAAGGGTACGCGATGCATTGTAGAGCACGGCATGGCATGGCGTAGAAGAGCACCGCAAAGCGTAGTATATCACAGAATGGCGTGGCGTGGCGTAGTGAAGAATTGCATCACAAAGCTTTGCAACGCAAAGCATGGCATCGCACAGCGGCCCCGAACATAACGTTGCATAGCATGGCGTTGAAGATCAAAGCGTAGCATGGCATGGCATGACGTGGCACTTACGCACTGGATATGACAGCTGCAGCTCAAGGTATGGCATCGCGCAGCAAAACGCAACCTAGCATTGCATTGCATGCCGTGGCATGGCACGGGAAATGAGGCCAGCGCTGCAGCGGGAGCACGGTTCGGAACGAGCGGAAGCACGGAAATGAGGCCAGCGCTGCAGCGGGAGCACGGTTCGGAACGAGCGGAAGCACGGAAATGAGGCCAGCGCTGCAGCGGGAGCACGATTCGGAACGAGCGGAAGCCCGAAAATGAAGCCCGAAAAAAAATCAAGCGAAAACCCAACTCCGGGAAATCCTGTGCTCGCCTTCTCCCCCCCACCGAATCCCTCCTCCTCCGCCTCCTCCCTGGGAGGAGGGGGAGGAGGGGGCGGCTCCCCTGTGCGCCGGGGGGCGTGGAACCTTCTTCCCAGGCGGCCACCGCGCATCGCCTCAAAGTGAGCCCGCGGGGCGCAAGAGGCCACCACGGTACCCTCAAGTCAGGCCTGTCCCTCTACAGGAGGAATATTCAAAAAGATAGTAACACAAATAGTATGGAGACGATGTTTTTGTTATGTTTCGACTATTTGGGGGCATTTCCGGACTATCTTTAATTTGTCGCCCAGAATCCACCCGCCTGTAGGTGAACATGCCCGACCTAACAGTACCCCCCGGCAGACGCACCAACGGTTGGGAAGCCACGGGATCCCACCAGACAGCCAGCGGCCACAGGGAGCCGCAACCAGGTTGCCGCGCTGGCACCGGGGACCGCGGGCAGCCCCACCAGAGATTGCTGCGCAGTCGAGAGCCGGTGACCGGTGACCAGCATGCATTGTGCCCACGTGCGCGGGGGCATTGGCACCCGCTGAGGACTTCTGCCCAGACATGGATGTCGCTGGTAAAATGTCTCCCAAGCGTCCCGACGCACACCAGCCGCGGCCTGGCGCGGCGGCGGATCTCTAGAATTCTCTGCCAAAGGTCGGCTGTTGGACGCTATCCGGCCTGTCGGAGACAACGTGGCTGCTGGCTGCGCCCGGGCCGTTGCAGCGGCCCTTTGGCACGCGCGTTCGTGCCAAACGAGGCGAACTTGCATTGTATTTCGCAGTCCAAACCAGACATGCCCGCGGCGCGAGGCGAAGAATAGCCTTGGCCACAAATGGGCGACGCAAAACACGAGTCGTCTGCGCCGACAGGGGCGCGTGAGCTGTCTTTGGAGGCCTGGAAATGGGCACCAACACCAACACACGGGCATGCCTCAGCCAGGGGAAGAGTATCCTAGAATTCGGCGTTGGTGGTAATACTTCGGCCACCTAGGACGCCAAAATATGACCGCCATCACCGAGATCGGGAGCACCTTCCCTCGGTGGAGGCACACCGCCGATATTTGGTGTGTTCGTGTCAACCTCTAGGCCTCCCATGTCCGCGGCTGGCACGGAGCCCAGGGGCAACGATAGGGGGGGATAGGCATAGGGGGGGATGCATCGACCCCCAATCGCCCACTGATCGCCGATAGGGGCCCGATAGCCCCAACCTGCCCAGGAACGTGCGGATTCACTGTCGGGAGCCTATCGCCGATCTATCGGCGATGTATCGCCGATTCCAGGTCGACGTTCCCCCCCCCATGCCTATCCCCCTTATATTTGCCCCTCAGGAGCCCAGGTGCGACGGCCCACGGCCCCGGCCGTTTCCATATCCATCCTGCGCGGCTGTGGCCCACCGCCAGGGGCCGTTGGCCATGGCTGCCGTGGCTCGGCCTCGTCGTCGTCGTCGTCGTCGTCGTCGCGGGCCCACGCAAGTCAGGAGGAAAAAACAGACGGACACAAACCACCGAGCGCGCTACACTACTCGCAAAGTGCCTACTCGTCAATGTCCGAAAACCGATGTAATACACGGGCGGTACTATAGATTTGACCGTAACGAGTCATCCGCCGAGACCCCCCGTCCCCCGTAGAATCTTAGCGAAAGGTTTCTGGTCCGGCTGCGGTTCCGAACCCAGGTGTTCGCACCCTGGAAGAAAATTATATATATAACTGTAAAAATGAAATAAACAAGGTGATGATCACTCCGCCCCACGAAGCCTGGGATGGGAGATCACGCCGTTCTGGCCCGACTTACTGAATTCACTCCGTGTGATCGTCACAGTCGGTTTTTTCATCACATGCGTCATCGTCGTCTTCATTCCCGCAATGTTGTGTTGATTCAGTGTGTTCGTTTGCACGCTGAGGCCGAGTGGCCCTGGACACCCTCATCCAGCGCAGTCGCTCTTGCTTCGGCTGCAGCTTCCCCAGAGATTTTACGAGGGCTTCCAGATTGCAGATGGGGTCACGTTTGCGTCTTGAACCGGCCAGCGGCGCCTTCTGATTCTTGTCAGCCGACGGTCAAGAACTTTAGCACCTGGCAATTATATCCTAAATCCCCCGCGGCGGTTCGAGGCCATTTGCGAGTACACGCCGGTCGTTGAAAGTAGGTGTTCTTGGATTCCCAGATCCCAAATTCAAGCGCCTTCCTACTTCAAGAATCGACATGTTTTTGCTGTGTTCTGTTATCTAATCGCTTCGCTCATTCTGCCTGCCCTGGAGCGCTATTTGGGGCCTCTTGGGGCCGTCTTGGGGGCTTCTTGGGGGCTTCTTGGGAGCGTCTTGGTGCTCCTTGGCGGCGTATTGGGCTCCCCTGGGGCCTCTTGGGGGGCTCTTGGGGGCACCTTGGGGCGGGAGGGGGGGGTAGTCAATTGCGCCCCCCCCTCGGAGGCCACGATCCTCGTGAGGGGTGGCGAAAAATAGCCCCCCCCCCTGGGGATCGCCTGGGGGTCGGTCAGCCGGGGATCGGCCGGGGTACTTTTCTTTCGGGGCCCCCCAGGGGCCGCCCCGCGCGCGCGAACTAGAAATATTAATTGTTAAGTAGTTACCGGAGATCTTGGCACGCCTCTGGCCCGTTGGGCCGGCGAATTATTTGGTAGGTCCTAGACCCAATCCTTTTTATCCGCCTTCCTACTTCATGTTTAAAAGAGCGTGTTCTACCGCTGCTGGCGGAAAACCGGGGGTGGTCACTACGGGTTCGACCCCCCCCCCCCTCCGGAAAATTGGGGGGGGTCACATACCGGTTCGAACCCCTCCCCCCCCCAGTCCATCATGAAAAGGGGGGGGTCACTACCGGTTCGAACCCCCCACCTTTCGAAAACTAGGGGGGTCACTACCAGTTCGAACCCCCCCCCTCCCCCTCGAAAACCGGAGGGGGTCACTACGGGACGTTGGGACAGCACAGTGGGACAGCGGCGGGGACAGTGGGACAGTAGTGGGTACAGTGGGGACAGTGGGACAGTGATGGGGACCGTAGGGAAAGTGGGGAGAGTGGGACCGTGGTCGGACAATGGTGTGGAGAGTGGGGGCATTGACACACTGGTGGGGGCATTGGTGGGGACAGCGGGGACAATGGTGGGAACAGTGGGGACAGTGGGACAGTGGTGGGGACGGTGGTGGTGGGGACAGTGGTGTGGGGACAGTGGGAATGTGGTGGAGACAGTGGGACAATGGAGGGTGCAGTGGTGGTGGGGACAGTGGTGAGGGCGGTGGCGAGGACGGCGGTGGGACAATGGGACAGAGGTACAGTGGGGACAGTGGTGGGGACAGTGGGGACAGTGGTGGGAAAAGTGGGACAGCTCTGTGGGAAAGCGGAGGAGACTGGGACAGTGGGGACAGTCGGGCAGTGGTTGGGGCCGTGGAGAAAGTGGGGAGAGTGGAACCGTGGTGGGAACAGTGGCGGGGACAGTGGGGGCAGTGCGACAGTGGTGGGGGCACTGGTGGGGACAGTAGGGACGGTGGTGGAACCAGTGGGGACAGCGGTGGTGAGGACAAAGGTGCTGGGGACAGCAGTGGGGGATGTGGGGTGGACGGTGATAGGGACCGGGAGTCGTTTGCTGGCGGTGAGCGTGGGGAGGCGGGGGCGAGGGGTTCGAACTGCTAGTGACCCCCCCCGGTTTTCGGGGGGGGGGTCGAACCGGTAGTGACCCTCCCTGTTTTCGAGGGGGTGGGGCGGGCTTCGAACCGGTAGTGACCCCTCCTCGGTTTTCGAGAGGGGGGCCCCCGGGGGGTTCGAACCGGTAGTGACTTTCCCCGGTTTTCGAAGGGGGGGGGGAGAGGGGTTCGAACCGGTAGTGACCCTTTCCGGTTTTTTGCATGGGGGGGCTCGAGCTGTAGTGACCTCCTCTGGTTTTCTGGGGGGAAGGGGAGGGAGGGGTTCGAACCGGTAGTGACCCCCTCCGGTTTTCTGGGGGAGGGGGGGTCGAACCGGTAGTGACCCCTTTCCAGTTTTCCGAAGGGGGGGGGGGCTTCAGGGGAGGGGGGGGGGTGCCGGGGGAAGGGGGGGGGGGGAATTTCGGAGGGGGAGGAAGGACCCCCGGGCTCCAGAGGAAGAGGGGGGGAATTTCCCACAATAAAGCGGCGGTGAGCGGCGGTTGATCACGCTCTCTTTCTCTCTCTCTCTCTCTCTCTCTCTATCATGCTTTTACCGACTTCTTCCGACCGACGTGTAGTTATGTTGCGAGTAGTGGAACGCGCTTCTCTAACAAAGAATCTTCGATCCCCAGGAAAGTATGGACAAAATATGGGAAGTGGAGGGGAGGACGAAAATCCAGAAGATACGCAAGAATATTGCGAATCCTGGGATTTGTGCCGATGTTTTTGTCTGCCCCTGGGTCCTTTTTCTAACAGTATGGGCGATCCATGTTCCTTGCCCCCCCCCGGGAGCCCAACGGCTTCGAAATCCTTCCGAGAGGTTGTTGGTGCGATGACCTGCCTGGCCTCGCGGTCCTCGTCATCGTCCTCCATTTTCCTCGACCGTCCTCGTCTTCTTGCTCTCCATCCTCCTCGCCCTCCGCCTGCTCTTCCCCACCCTGGCGCGCCTACTGCACGATCAGTTCTGTAAGTCCGTTTTCTCCCCGTCCTCCTGGCGGCGCGCCAAGAGGCCCAGGGTCGCAGGGTCGGCTCTCTAAGTAAGAAGCCAAGAAGTACCCCCCCCCAGACTCACAAGGCGGGGGGGCAGTACGGTCAGCAGGTCCACTCTCTCCCATCAGAGAGGGCATGCGACTCTTGACGCTTCCTCCTTGGGGAGCCCAAGAGCAACCCCTGCTGGATCGATGTGATCCTGAAGCGCTCAAGGACTCAAGGGGGAGTCGAGGCAACTCAACAGGCAAGACGCTTCAGACATCCCCACAATCTGGCCGCGAACGGGGGAACTAAACCACCCTTGGTTGCTTCTCCTAGGGATGTTCAAACGCCTTGCCTGCTATATCGTGGTGAGCATCGGGCTTTCACAAGAGAGGGAAAGAAGTCTGGACCTCCAAACAGGCAAACCATGGCAAACCGCCTGAGACATTTCCCAAATCTGGATGCGAACAGGCAAGTGTCCCCCTCCCTAGCGACTCTTCCCGTGGGGCCTACATGCAACGCTTGCTACATCGAGGTGACCATGAGGCTTTCGAGAGAGAGAGAGAGAATATTTGGGCCACCAAATAGTCAAACCGCCCGAGGCATCCCCACAAACTGGGCATTGGGGCGTGTCTGAGGCGAATCGATGGTTTAGGCGCCTCCGACTCCCTGAGAGCCCCATGACCACCGCGATGCAGCAGGCATGGCTTTATGGGCGTTACACTTGCCAGTTCGCGCCCGGATCGTTAGACCTCTCAAGCGACACGCTGGTTGCAGCACCCGACCCCTCTCCCTTTAGAGCCCCAAGATCAGCCCAATGCAGCAGGCATAGCAGTCGAGTACTCCGAGGGAGATCCGCCAGACAGCGCTCGGTCGGACACAGACGAGAATGCCGGGAATTGAGATGCACATTTGGGGACCTCCGCTTTGAATTGTCCCCCATTTCTTGAGATTGGGGTTTTTGTTATCACTTATACGCCTCAGATCCCTTCCTTTCACCTCCTCCTCCTCCTCTCCATACGTACTCAGATTCACTCGCGCTTCACTTACTCCAGTCCATACTCCAGTCGTACCCATACCCACTCACATTCAGACTCCGTTCCCATTTAGCCTCGCCCATGCTCAGACCCACTCACGTCATGATCTACGAACACTTCGACTTACCCACACTCAGGCCCAGTTATATCACTCATACTAAGACTTCCGCATCCGCACTCATACTTACACTCAGACTCTCTGACACTGTCTCATCGGCATTCGTACTCACTCACACTCAGACTGACTCGCACTCAGACTCATACGCAAGCAGACTTACTCAGATTAGCTCGCACTCAGAATCGCAGATGGTGCGGATGATTCGAGCGAGACGTTGTTTCCAGCATTCCAACGGGGAGCCGCCAGGGGTGCTTATTGCATTGTTTGCGATGCCTCGAGCGGTGTTCCTGTTTGGTGGCCTAGACGCCTTTGCATTCAGAGCTAATTGTGATGATGTCTCGAGCGCGGTGCTGCCTTCAGCACGCCAAGGGGGGGGGGCGCCTGGCTGGGTGTGGGACATTCGCCCGTTGGCGTTCAGATTGTTGGCATGTCTTAGGCGGTTTGCCTGTTTGTAGTCGTTCTCTTCGCTAACCATCACTGATGTCGTCGCTGTCGTCCTCGCCGCACCCGTCGTCCAGATGCTCACCGGCAAACGCGCTCGGCGAGACGTGCCAGGAAAGTTGGATACACACTTTTGATCCTGAACGTGTCGAGTATTTCCCAACATCCTAAGTGGGGGTATTGTTTCCTCTGGACACCCCGCGCAGTCCAGTTCTTCACCCCCTCTCCT